CCATATTTCAGTGTCTTACCAGGTTGAATTATGTGTTGTTGTTGTTTAGTCGTTTAGTCGTGTCCGACTCTTCGTGACCCCTGGACCAGAGCACGCCAGGCACTCCTGTCTTCCACTGCCTCCCGCAGTGAATTATGTGTACCTGTCTATAATAAGCTAATATAATCATTGTTATTATTGACCAGATCTTATCAAACTATTCATATACAATAGGAGATGTAATTTCCCCCTGGTTCTTGGGAATAATTTTTCTGTTTTGGTGATTTATATAAAAGTATTAAATTTTTAAAGGATGAAAAAGAATGGAGATAAAACATGCTTTCCCCTTTCCTTCCACACTCTGCAGATGATGTACAAAATAACAAGCTACGTAGGGAACGACATATGGAGTCAGTAGCAGCAGCCAAGCCTGAAGTTGCAAAAGAGATGCTTGGAAATCACAAGGGACCCAGAATGCCTGAAAAAAGAACATACACTGTGATGAAATCATTTACATGTCTGGAGTGTGGAAAGAGCTTCAGTCTGAGCTGTAACCTTATTACACATCAGAAAACCCACGCAAGGGAGAAACCATTTAAATGCAGGGAGTGTGGAAAGTGCTTCAATAGGAGGAGCAGCCTTTGCAGACATTTGAGAACCCACACGGGAGAGAAACCATTTGAATGCATGGAATGTGGAATGAAATTTAGAGCAAACAGTAACCTTACTGAACATCAAACAATCCACACAGGGGAGAAACGATATCAGTGCATGGAATGTGGAATGAGATTTAGAGTGAGCAGTAATCTTACTACACATCAGAGGACGCACACCGGGGAGAAGCCATTTAAATGCATGGAGTGCGGAAAGAGCTTTACACAGAGCAGTAAACTTACTGTACATCAAAGAAAACACTCAGGGGAGAAGCCATTTAAGTGTGTGGAGTGCGGAAAGAGCTTTACACAGAGCGGTAGCCTTACTAAACATCAAAGAACCCACACACGGGAGAAAACGTTTGAATGCATAGAGTGTTGAGAGCACCTGAGTCTTGAGTAGTCACCCTACTCATCATAAAAGAACTCGCAGGGTTTTAAAATGGTGGGGGAACACAACTTTGGAACAGAAGGCCAGTAGTGGTTTGTGGGGTCAGCTGTAAGAAGAACTTAACCAGACACAACCTTCGGAAAACAAGGAAATCAAGTCGGAGGGGCTGAGTCCGATCCTGAGGCGGAGAGATGTTTTTTCGTTGGGCGAGGGGAGCTCTGGGCTTGGCGGCTCGTGGCGTGCAGCGGACTGCGGCAAGACAAGTTCGCAGCAAACATGGGCCTGATTTTCATGACAAATATGGCAGCTTGATTTTGCTTGGTGGGGCTCTGCTTTGTGCCTCCATTTGGAGCTATGTTGTAACACAAACAGGAATAGAATGGAATTTGTTTCCTGTTGGTCGAATTACCCCAAAAGAATGGAGAGAGGAGTAGAGATGCTGGGTTAAATCCTCTGCTGAAAAGTTGGGTTCGCTGGAGCTTTTATTGGAATATACTAATACTATGCCTGTAGAGGGCACAATTATATGTGATTTAATAAATGCATTTAAACATTTTTTTTAAAAAAAAAAGAACTCGCAGAGGGGAGAAACCATTTCAATGGAGGGAGTGTGGAAAGAGCCTTAGAGTGAGCAGTAAGCTTACTTCACATGGAAGTACACCAACACAGGGGTGAAGCCATATAAATGCAGAGAGTGCAGAAAGACCTTTTGGCAGAGTAGTCACCTCATTCATCATCAGAGAATCTACACCGGGGAGAAACCATTTAAATGCATGGAATGTGGAATCCGTTAGAGTAGTCAGCTTACTTAATCAGAGAATCTACATGGAGGGGCCTCTGGGAAAAGCTGTAGCACCGGAGAAAATCTCTGATTAAGACCTTGAGGGATTCACTGCTTGTTGTGGTACACAGTCCTGAGCTTCCTATGGAATTCTGTTATTCCAAGTAAAAACAACAAGATCTTGGTTTGAAGAAATCCTGCTTATGGCTGCTTTGCACAGGCACACACCCAACACTCATTAACGCCTCTTTAACAGCCTAGTCCCCTACACAACCCAGGAATCATCCATGATCTATAATCGTGGTTCTCAAGCTCCTGTCTTCAAGGGCTGTCCTGAGTGACTGAGAAACTGCTGAGCGTATTTCTGGACCACAATGATTATTCTGAAGTTTAGCAATCATAAAGTACTGTTTTAGATGCTGTAAAGTGGTACCTTGAGTTAAAAACTTAATTCGTTCTGGAGGTCCGTTCTTAACCTGAAACTTCTTAACCTGAGGATAACTTTAGATAATGGGGCCTCCCGCTGCCACCACGCTGCTGCTGCAAGATTTCTGTTCTCATCCTGAAGCAAAGTTCTTAACCCGAGGTACTATTTCTGGGTTAGCAGAGTCTGTTACCTGAAGCGTCTGTAACCTGAAGCGTCTGTAACCACTGTATAAGGAATTCAAATTTCAAACCAACAAAATTCAGCGACAAATAAAGCAATAAAGGTCCTCTTAAAAAATCAGTGTGGAGAATATGAAAAATACAATTAAAACACAATAGAAGTATTTAATGTGATAGTTCCGCCACACATTCTGTGGTCCACAGTCCTCAGATTGGGAACCCCTGATCTATGCCTAGTTTTCACCTCAACTTACTATTGGACCCCATATTTCAGCACAGGAGCTTATAAGATTTGGAAGGCTGGAAACAAGTTTCCACGGATGAACTTTTTGGACTAGTTCATTCTTGATAAGGATGAACAGGAACCAGTACTAGTTCCTTTTTTAAATGGGTTTTCTAAGCACTGGTCCCATAAATCCCATAGAAGCAGCTTCCTTTAGCATAGTGGCTTGGAACAGGGAGGGGAAGTTCTGCTAGATATAAAGGCCTGTCCCTCTCCCCCCTTTTTTCTGGATTTCCTGCTCAAGATCCGTATGTCCTCTTTTTCCTTGTTTATTGTGTGTGGGTTTTTTTTAATGCTGTGTGCTTTCATACTACCTTAAGCTGGGGATAAGCACCTCAGTCTGTCCCCATTTGCCTTTAAAGAGGGAAGCTCCAAGTCAGAATTCAATGGAAGTTGAACTGTGTACAAGGGGTGGACCTTTTTATGTTCACCTACTGGGCAAAACAGGGGATGCGGGTGGCGCTGTGGGTAAAAGCCTCAGCGCCTAGGGCTTGCCGATCGAAAGGTCGGCGGTTCGAATCCCCGCGGCGGGGTGCGCTCCCGCTGCTCGGTCCCAGCGCCTGCCAACCTAGCAGTTCGAAAGCACCCCCGGGTGCAAGTAGATAAATAGGGACCGCTTACTGGCGGGAAGGTAAACGGCGTTTCCATGTGCTGCGCTGGCTCGCCAGATGCAGCTTGTCACACTGGCCATGTGACCCGGAAGTGTCTGCGGATAGCGCTGGCTCCCGGCCTATAGAGTGAGATGGGCGCACAACCCCAGAGTCTGTCAAGACTGGCCCGTACGGGCAGCGGTACCTTTACCTTTTACTGGGCAAAACAAAAAAAAATCCTTCCAGTAGCACCTTAAAGACCAACTAAGTTAGTTCTTGGTATGAGCTTTCGTGTGCATGCACACTTCTTCAGATACACTGAAACAGAAGTTGCCAGATCCTTCTATATAGTGAGAAGGTGGGGAGGGGTATTACTCAGAAGGGTGGTGGGAATGGGTGATTGGCAGATAGCTGTGGTGAGCCTGTTGACGACTCTTAACGACTGCAATAGGTCTTACAGGAAAAAGCAAGGGGTGAGAAAGTGAAAAATGGCTTTGTCATGTATAATGAGATAAGAATCCAATGTCTTTGTTCAGACCAGGTCTCTCCATGGTTTTAAGTTTGGTAATGAGTTGCAATTCAGCAGCTTCTCTTTCCAGTGGTGCTACTGGAAGGAATTTTTTTTGTTTTGACTATGGCAGACCAACACGGCTACCTATCTGTAACTGGGCAAAACAGTGGGTCCTGATCCACAGGCTGCCTGCTTCATCAGATCCTTTCCACATGGTGGCTTGACCGTATTTTCAGTGATTTGGTTCACATTCCATCTCGTTGGTTACCATCTTGGCAGACTTAGTTCCCCATTCTTACAGATTACAGGGTGGCATTTTTATGTGTTAGTTTAGCTCGCCTCTGGGGATTTTGGAGGGGGGGTGGGTAGGTGGGGGGCAGACATATGTTATGTAAAACAAGGCCTACCATGTTACATAATGGAGAGCCATTGCTCACCAATGGAAAAGAACGCAGTGGTTTTCTTTGGCTTGAACCTCTGTAGGGGAACGACCCAGTAGCTTTGCCACGGTGAATTCTAGGGCTTGTCCAGGCTGGGCCACAGTGGGGCAAAATGTGAAGGAGGTACAAAGATGGCTGCTTGGGATGTGACAATACATACTTCCTCAACTAAGGCCAGGGCCTTTTCAGTACTGGCCCCAACTTGGTGCAACGCTCTGTCACAAGAGACAAGGGCCCTGCAGGACTTGACATCTTTCCACTGGGCTTTTGGTTTGGACTCAGTCTGACCCTTATGTTTCCCTCCCCTTATGGTTTTGATCTGTGGGCTACTTTTAAAACGAGGCTGCATTTTAAATTGCATTTTAACCTGTATTTTAAATTGGTTTTCCCCCCATTAATTTTACTGGTAGCCGCCCTGAGCCCAGCTCTGACCAGGGAGGGCGGGGTATAACTAAAATTTATTATTATTATTATTATTATTATTATTATTATTATTATTATTATTATTTCCTGATTCAGAACTGAATTTTGGTAGCAGGTGAGATACAAGTGGATGCCTGGGGGAATTGAAGGAATGAGCCTGTAAGGTTCTGGAAATCTTTAAAGAGGAGAAGGGTGAGGAGAAATCTTGCAGCTCCTTTCATTTAGTCCTCCAACTGGGCAAATGAAGCGATCTCTGGTTCCTAGAGGGGCAGGCAGTCTGGTTCCTAGAGAGGCAGGAAGCTAAAATATGGTTCCTAGAGAGGCAGGAAGTTAAAATCGGACACGACTAAAGAACAACAACAAAAACATGAGGAAAGCAAATTCTATTTTACACAAATGAAAACGCAAGTCGAGCTCTTCTTTGGGCCTGTGCTCAGCTAACTCAGCTAAAATATGGTGGGCTGTCACAAAACAGGTACATGTGATCGCTCCTTTGCTATGCAAGATAAAAGTAGAGTTGGAAGGGACCTCCAAGGGTCATCTAGCCCAACCCCCTGGAATGCGGGTCACATTATGACACTTTTCCTGCTTGGGAGACTGCTGGCTACCGCTTTTTGATTTATGTATTTTTTCCCCCCTGCGTGTTGTTTAAAAAACCTCCCTAAGAGCGTGTTAAAAGCTCGCCTTTCTTTGTGCGTGAATGCGCGCACGCACCTTAAGTCCTGCGAAGGGTTAATGCACAGAGCTGTCCTTCCTAGAGTGGCAGGAAGTTGGCCTCGGAAGGAAGGGGCGGGGCTTCACCCTTATTGCTTCCTCCGGGTTCCGGGCGGCGGAAGGGAGCTGCCGGATCGGGCGCTACAGGTGAGAAGAGGCGTCAGGTAGGATGGAGGGAGGGAAGGGGCGGATTGGGGGCGGGGGCGGGGGAGCTGGAAGGAGGAGAAGGGTCCCCACCCCACTTCCTTCCCATTCCTCCTCGGATCCTTCCTAAGGGGAACTGGCCCAGTTGGGAAGTCAGAAATCGCTCCCAATTTGGGGGATGCTCTGAGTTGGGCAGGGACGGAACTCGTTTCGGAGCCAGGAGCCGAGACGAGGTTGGAGGAGGACCGAGATGGCCAGACTGACCTTGGATAGTGCAGTCTTTCCCCCCCAAAAAAACTTGGGTCTCCAGCTGTTTCTGGACTACAACTCCCATCATCCCTAGCTAGCAGGACCGGTGGCCACGGGTGATGGGAATTGTAGTCCAGAAACAGCTGGAGACCCAAGCTTGGGAATCACTGCTCTACGGATATATGATCTGTGAATGACAAGTCCTACCAGTAGTAGTAGTAAATGTAATATTTAAATATTTATTTAATATAAATATTTAAATAAAATTTAAATATTTCTATATGTAGAGAGAGAGAACAGCTTCTATCTGTCGGCTGTTAGGCTGCTGAATGAAAAGAGAACAACAGGGCAACTGACTCTCGGGTTTGGTGGGTGTGCGTCAGTAAACGAGGGGAATTAAGACTAAGAGAGCTGAGTGCTCATGTAATCTCACTGTATACAAGTTGTACCAGTGACAATAAAGTATTTCATATATATGATCTGTGAATGACAAGTCCTACCAGTAGTAGTAGTAGTAGTAGTAGTAGTAGTAATAACAATAATAATAATACAGTGGTACCTCAGGTTGCATACGCTTCAGGTTACAGACTCCGCTAACCAAGAAATAGCACCTCGGGTTAAGAACTTGGCTTCAGGATGAGAACAGAAATTGTGCTCTGGCGGCGCAGCAGTAGCGGGAGGTCCCATTAGCTAAAGTGGTACCTCAGGTTAAGACAGTTTCAGGTTAAGAACGGACCTCCAGAACGAATTAAGTTCTTAACCCAAGGTACCACTGTAATTTATTATTTATACCCTGCCCATCTGGCTGGGTTTCCTCAGCCACTCTGGGCGGCTCCCAACAGAATATTAAAAACACAATAAAACATCAAACATTAAAACCTTCCCTAAGCAAGGCTGCCTTCAGATGTCTTCTAAAAGTCAGGTGGTTGTTTATTTCCTTGACATCTGATGGGAGGGCGTTCCAAAAGGTGGGCACTACCACCAAGAAGGCCCTCTGCCTGGTTCCCTGTAACTCCACTTCTTGCAGTGAGGGAACCGCCAGAAGGCCTTCGGCACTGGACTTCAGTGAACTCAGTGGTCTCTCTTCGTTTGCTTGTGTGTTTGTTTACTGTATTATAGCAGAGGCTGGAGATGGCTGACGTCCCTCCGATCTCCTGTTTCTCCCCTGCAGGCACTGGGGTGACCCCGCTTGACGGCTGCAACATGCTTTAAAGTGCATCAGGGGAGCAGCTGTGACTGCCCTGGGGGTGGCTCGGTTCATCCTTCATGCCCTGAAGGCAGGGCTATGGCCTCAGGTTCACAGCCGGGATTGTCTCTTCCTTGGGGTGAAGTTGAGAGAGCATCCTGGCAGCCACCTCAGGTAAGGGGAGGAGAATCCAAGAGAGTGATGGGAGTTTCCTGGGTGCCTCTCTGTGTGTGGAGATGCAAGGGAGACTGAAAAAATATGCCTCTTTTTTCCTTTCCTTTCCCTTCCCTTCCTTCCTTCCCTCCCTTCCCTTTCCCTTTCCTTTTTTTTACTTTTGGCCCAGCAAAAGTGGTCGTGATGGGGACGGATAGATAAATGAAAGCACACATGCATCTATCATGTCTCCTTACACGCTTGGGAAATGGTGGAATGACTTCTACTCCTTTGTCCAGGGCCTGGTGACCTTTGAGGACGTAACTGTGTTTTTTGAGGCAGAGGAATGGGCTCTGCTGGATCCGCACCAAAAAGCTTTGCATAGGGAAGTCATGGAAGAGAATTACGAGACTGTGGCCTCTCTAGGTAAGGCTGCTTATTTTTTCATTCAATAATAGATGTCTGAGGAATGAATTTAGTAGCCCCGCTCCATACGTCCTTGTAATTGAGCCCTTTTCTGATGTTATGGAGCAGTTAAACGCAATTGCACTTTCTATTCCATTTGTGCTTCAAAGGTTTGAGCTCATATACAGCCCCGGATTTAGTGAATGCATGTCCCCTAGTAAAGGTACAGGGACCCCTGACCATTAGGTTCAGTTGTGGCCGACTCTGGGATTACGGTGCTCATCTCGCTCTATAGGCTGAGGGAGCCAGCGTACAGCTTCCTGGTCATGTGGCCAGCATGACCAAGCCGCTTCTGGTGAACCAGAGCAGCGCATGGAACTTCCCACCGGAGCGGTACCTATTTATCTACTTGCACTTTGACAAGCTTTTGAACTGCTAGGTTGGCAGGAGCTGGGACAGAGCAACTGGAGCTCACCCCGTCGCGGGGATTCAAACCGCCGACCTTCTGATCAGCAAGCCCAAGAGGCTCAGTGGTTTAACCCACAGCGCCACCCACGTCCCGCATGTCCCCTAGCTTCCTTTTAAAATCCTGCAGCTTTTCATTCTGCAAATGTTCTGGGCTTTTTGCTTACTCTCATTTTTGTTGTGCTGTAGGTACAAAAGCATCTAACCAAATGGACCCACTTCATTAACTAGAAGGGAGTTTGAGCTTTTGGGCCACTCCGGCAGACTTCTGTGGATGCCACATGACAAATTTCTTCATTTTCCACACGGAATCCAACATCCCTGTGGTTTTTGTCCTGCAAATCAGCAAGCACAGCATGAGCACAACAACTTAAATGCTCAGCAATTGTTTTAGCAGTTTTTAATTTGTGTGGGTTTCGTTTGTTTTCATTGAGGGAAAGGAGATGTGGCTGGGATAATAATAATAATAATTTTATTATTTGTACCCCGACCCTGACTGGGTTGCTTCAGACACTCTGGGCTGCTTCCAGCATATACAGAAACATAATAAAACATTAAGACAGGGCGGCCTTCAAATGTTTTCTAAAAGTTGTATAGTTCTTTATCTCAACATCTGATGGGAGGGCGTTCCACAGGGTGGGCGCCACTATCGAGAAGGCCCTCTGCCTGGTTCCCTGTAACCTCACTTCTCGCAGTGAGGGAGCCGCCAGAAGGCCCTCAGTGCTCCATCTCAGTGTCGGGGCTGAATGATGGGGGTGGAGATGCTCCTTCAGGGATATATGGGCACAAAGGAACAATGCTGACCCTTAGAGCACCCTCCTGTTCGTTCCTTTGCAAGCATGGCTTATGTTCACTGTAGTTTTAAAATGTGGAAACAGCTAAAACAGCTGTGGAAATTCTCCAACTCTCCCTTGGAAATGGAAGCATTTTGCACTTTAACATGTTTCAGCAAAGACATCCTTTTTTGAACCTGGGGAGAGCAGTGGTTCAGGGTAGGGGGAGGTATGATGTGGGAGGCAGGGCAAGCTGGGAAAGGGGCATATGGCACAGACAGTGACTGTATGGTGTGCCAGGAAAACATGGGGTATTTCAATTGTCTTGTCAGCCAGCCCTCAGGTCTGTGGCTCCTGTTGCTGAATACCCGGTCGCTTCTAAATATGACCTCCTTCATCCCTGATCTGATTGTGGATGAGGAGGCCAATCTGGTCTACATCACAGAGACCTGAGTGGGTGAGCACGGTGTCCACTTGTTGCGGCATCCGGGCAGACATGAGGGTTGGGTAGGGGTAGGTGCTGTGGCCTATAGAAATTCCATCTCACTCTCCAGGCTCTCTGGTTGGCTGGCTTTGGAATAGCTGGATATTTTGTGGTGAGTAAGTAGAATCGAACGTAATTGGTCCTGTGTGTTTCCTTCAAAGTATCAGACCTCAATTCCTGTTGGGAAGAAGGAGAAGATCCACTTATCCGGCATCCTAGAGAAGAGGAGATATCAATCGGTAAGTGCTTAGCTGTCTAGAGCCAGTGTGGTGTAGTGGTTAAGAGCGGTAGACTCGTAATCTGGGGAACTGGGTTCGATTCCCTGCTCCTCCACATGCAGCTGCTGGGTGGCCTTGGGCTAGTCACACTTCTCTGAAGTATCTCAGCCTCACTCACCTCACAGAGAGTTTGTTGTGGGGGAGGAAGGAAAAGGAGAATGTTAGCCGCTTTGAGACTCCTTTGGGTAGTGATAAAGCAGGATATCAAATCCAAACTCCTCCACTTCTTCTTCTTCTGGGGCTCCTTTTAGTCTCTGTATTGAAAGACTTTTGTTCAGTGACTTTCAAAGAAGGTTAAGTAAATTCAGGGAAAGTAAAGCTGTCCATGGCTTTTGGCCAAGACAGCTATACAGTGGTACCTCGGGATACATACATTTCAGGTTACATACGCTTCAGGTTACAGACTCCGCTAACCCAGAAATAGTGCTTCAGGTTAAGAACTTTGCTTCAGGATGAGAACAGAAACCGTGCTCTGGCGGCGCGGCAGCAGCGGGAGGCCCCATTAGCTAAAGTGGAGCTTCAGGTTAAGAACAGTTTCACGTTAAGAACGGACCTCTGGGACGAATTAAGTTCTTAATCTGAGGTACCACTGTATATCAGACATCTCTGAATTTGGGCAGAACAGCAGGAGAGGGCTCTTGCCTTTATGCCCTAGTGGGATCCCATAAGGATCAAGTTGGCCTATGTGGGGATACGGGACAAGACAAGCCTTTTGGCTTCATCCAGCAGAGTTCCACTTATACAGAGAAAAGATGGCCTCCTGGTTGAGGTTTCGCTTCCACCTTGCCTCGCATTAAAACAGCTGCTTTGGCTTCTAGAATGCCGCTCAGCTGAGCTAAATGGGCAGTGAGTGGCGGCTCCCAAGCACCATATTGATTCCTCTGGGTCCGCACAACCATGTTCTGACTGATCTTCTTGGTTTTGGGAAGGGGAACATAGCAGTTAGCAAACTTGGAACGGCTCCGTCTTTTGTACTCAGAAGTAACTAGCCTGTTTCTGTTTCTATGGCAGACGTTCTGAAACCAGACCTCGTCTCTATGTCCGGAGAAAACCCAACAGGACAGGCCTCTGAGGAAGGGAAGAAATTGGCAGGTACTGATATTAACAATGTCAATGAAAGAGATTATAATGAGAACAAAACTATGGTGCAATATCTATACTATTTAGGCTAAAATCAAAGTTTGCCAGTGAAATACACCCCATCTTTAAAGCCCTATACGGCCTAGGACCCTCGTACCTACGGGACCGCCTCTCCTGGTATGCCCCACAGAGAAACTTACGGTCTTCAAATAAAAACATCTTGAAGGTCCCAGGCCACAGAGAAGTTAGGCTGGCCTCAACTAGAGCCAGGGCTTTTTCGGCTGTGGCTCCGATCTGGTGGAACACTCTGTCACAAGAGACTAGGGCCCTGCGGGACTTGACATCTTTCCGCAGGGCCTGCAAGACAGAGCTGTTCCACCAGGCCTTTGGCCAGGACACAGCCTGACTCCCTCCCTCGGCACTCTTCGCGGAGCTCTGGCCCAATGGTTGCCAGTGGCTTGATTTGAATTAATTTTATAATGAATGATTTTAGAGTGTTGTTAGCGCTGTACTTTTGTACTGTTTTATTGTTGTTAGCCACCCTGAGCCCGGCTTCAGCTGGGGAGGGCGGGATATAAATAAAAAATTTGATTATTATTATTATCTCTCTGTGTTAAATAAAGCTGTGCACCAGATCCAGCCCAAACGCTGATCCTGAATGAAATTGCATCAATTCGGGGAAATCTGGGCTTGAACCAGATTGGCTGGAGACAGACAGAGATTGTCCTGAATCACTTTGGCCCACCTGAGAGATCTGGTACTGATAAATGGCAAGACAGTTAGGTGACAGGACACAGTAGATGCAACAGAGAATGAAAGTCTTAGTAGAAAATAAATCCTCTTAATTCTCTCGGAATTCCTTTGCAGTAAACATATATCTTCTTCTTTGGCAATCGCTTGTAGCCAAGTAAGATTGTCTTCCATAAACACAGTTTTAACAGTGAGTCCATAAGTGACTGTGGAGGCCAGTTCTGGATCTACATGTCCTTCCACATGTGGGGACATAGGTTTCCAGGCAGGAATTGATCATGGTGAGGGTTTGCCAAATGTGCCTTCCTCTTAGCACCTTTCTCCCTTTTGTCCTGAGTTTGTTGCTTCTTCAAAGTCCATGACACCTTTGGTAAAGGCTGTTCTCCAATTGGAGCGCTCGCAGGCCAGTGTTTCCCAGTTGTCAGTGTTTATCCTACTTTTTTTTAGATTTGCCCTGAGAGAGTCTTTAAAACACTTTTGTTGACCACCAGCATTACACTTTCCATTTTTAAGTTCGAAATAGAGTAGTTGCTTTGGAAGACGATAATCAGGCATCCACACAACATGACCAGTTCAACAAAGTTGATGTTGAAGAATCATCACTTCGACACTGGTAATCTTTGCTTCTTCCTGTACACTGGCATTAGTTCACCTGTCTTCCCAAGTGATGTGTAAAAATATTTGGAGACATCGTTGATGGAATCTTTTGAAGAGTTGGAGATGACGTTTATAAGTGGTCCATGTTTCACAAGCTTACTGGCAAACAACGGCAGATCTCTCCACATGTGCAAACAAATCCTTCTGCAGAAGCAGTTCCCATTGGGTCACAAACAGCTTTAGAGAGCAGTGCTGGTTGGGAGAAGCCTCTTCTCTGCTCAAGGAAGGTGCACTGCTTCTACCCATCAATTGATAGGTAGCTGTGAGTGTAACTTGCTCTAGCAGAGAAAGAATCAGAAGTTTGCCTTAAGCTCACAGTATCACCCTTACCTGCCCCACACATGTTCTCATGTATGATGTCAGGTGCAGGGTGACTGGGGAAGAGGTCCTTAAACTGATCTGCTGGACCAAAAGGGGACAAGTTTGGTCTGTGGGCTGGAGGTTCCCCACCCCTGTCTTGCACTATAGGGTGTTCAGAAGTTAGGTAAAGGTATAGGGACCCCTGACCATTAGGTCCAGTCGTGGCCGACTCGGGTTGCGGCGCTCATTTCGCTTTATTGGTCGAGCGAGCCGCTGTACAGCTTCCGGGTCATGTGGCCAGCATGACTAAACCACTTCTGGCGAACCAGAGCAGTGCACGGAAACACCGTTTACCTTCCCGCCAGAGTGGTACCTATTTATCTACTTGCACTTTGATGTGCTTTCGAACTGCTAGGTTGGCAGGAGCAGGGACCGAGCAACGGGAGCTCACCCCGTCGCAGGGATTCGAACCGCCGACCTTCTGATCGACAAGTCCTAGGCTCTGTGGTTTAACCCACAGCGCCACCCGCGTCCCTTAGTTCAGAAGATAACCACATTTAAACTTGGCATATAGTGGGGAAATGGTCTGTGATTAGATCCTTTGTTTTTCTCATTCTTCTTCTCTCTCCCCACCATCAGATGATGTGCAGAATAATGGGAATTCTAGGGAGCGGTGGTCGCCAGAGATCATCAAGAGCGAAGTAACAGAAGAGATGACAGAAGAGACGCAAAACAATGGGAGTTACAGGCAGCAATGGATTTTGCCATCGGGGATTGTCAAAACTGAAGGCGCAGAAGAGATGACGGAAGAGAGGCGGCACAATGGGAATTATTGGGAGCAATGGACTTTGTCATCTGAGATCGTCAAGAGCGAAGCAATAGAAGAGATGACTGAGAATCTGATGGGAATAGAATGGCAAGAACAAAATAATTCCAAGTGTGGGAAGATGAAAGCGTTTGATGCTCAGAATCCTAACCTCCAACCGACTCCAGTATGTGTGATAGTGTTTACATATAAATTAGAATTAAAAAGGAATTGCATAAACGCACAGGGGAGGAACCATTTGAATGCAGGGAGTGTGGAAAGAGCTTCAGACAGAACAACCACCTTAATTAATCATCAAAGAACCCACACCAGAGAGAAGCCGTTTAAATGCACTGAGTGTGGAATGAGCTTCAGCCTTTGCACACACTCTGCATATAAAGGGAGTAGAAATAAATGGAGGGTCTGGAGTATTTTCGCATTGAATGAGTTTACGACTTCTATTGTTTGGAAGGTGAATCAATCAGCGTAGAGAAAAACGTAAGCAGTGAGTTTTGATGGAAACAGTCTCAATGTATGCAAGATGACCGATGGCCATTCATAGCTGCCGTAATTGATGACAATGCAAACTTTAATAGCTGTATTGGAATGAAAAAACGTACCCACAATTCAAGCTAGATAGCAAGTGACCTCCTCTGTGAGTTCTTATCAGGGTCAGACCCAGGCATTCTGCACCTGGGCCAGCCAGTCGGAATAGGACTTCGGACAGGTAGTGTAGCAAGATAGGGAAATGTCTGGAGAGCTCAGGTGGAACATGGGCAAACATGCATTGCACACTTTCTAGTAATTGTCTGCAGCCTAATTTGGACGGAAGGCAAGCTTAGGGGAGACGAACATGAATGAAGTCTTATTGAGAAGTTTGGGGCACTTAAGTTTGTGAATGAATGGGTTCCTGCAGTGATTTGAGGAGAGCAGGTTTTAAGGTGTGAAGGCATGCAAAAGTATGGGAGATACCATAAAACCTAGCTGACCTCGCAGGCGGGAAAGCAAATACTGTATTGTCTTTTCGCTTTTGCAAGCTCATTTTTGGGTGAAGACCAGGGTGGATTTTATTTAAATCAAATTGAATCAATTTAAATCACTAGTCAGTAAAATTTCATTTAAATCATTTTTTTACAGACTGTCTCCTTGCTGAGATCATCTTAATATTGGCAACCAGAGGAAGGTTTCATTTTTGGAATAATAAATTTTCATAGTTTTTTTTACAGTTATATCAAAAATTACTGATTTGGTTATACTATTAGAAATACATAGATAATTATGAAATCATGATGAGGTTAACTGTTTATATTTGGGCAATGCCAGATCTGTTAGGAAAACCCAGCAATAAGGGAAAAGAGTCTAGCTGCTCTAATACTTGTTTTATTAAATCTCAGAGGAAAAAAGTGAGGCCATCAACTTTTTCGAAGTGGAAGCTAGAAAATCCGTGGCTGGAAATGTTTGCTGATGTTATGATCTGCCTCATCTGCAAAGAATTTGCACGGGCCGAGGATACGAGTTTCGTGAAAGGCTGCACAACATTCAAGATTGAAACGGTGAGTTTATATTTATATTCTGCAGATACAATTTGCCAAATTTGTTAAATGTGACAGTTGTTGTTGTTTTTTAGTTAAATGGTCTGGGGAAACCAGCCATTGACAGCGACAGATTTTAATAGGGCATCATGAGAAGCAGCGGCCAATTTTCCCTTGTTATTATTAGGCTGCAAGTTACTTTTGCAGCTGAAACTGTTGGGATACTGCCAGGGAGACAAAGTCCATCATGGCCCCACGTCGCCTCCGGACGTCCATCGATCTCCCGTAGACGCGCAGTATCAGCAATTAGCGACACGAGCTCCAGAAATAGCTTGCCACATTCCAGAGCTGATGCACGCTCTTATCAGCAGATAATGCACAGCGAAAGATGCACGCAGGAGAGCATAATTTAAGTTTATTCAGCGTTGGTCAGAACAAAGAAAAAAACATGACCGCCTGCTTCAGTGTTCAGGCACCGAGAGAGAGAAACGGAAGCAATAGAAAACATAAACTTCCTGTGAACAGGAAATACGCAGACTCTGTGACTCACAAAGCCTGCTCCCTTTTAAGGTGGAACGGAAATATCCTAACAGAAACAAGACACAGATATAAACATCTCCGAGCTTTCATATATCTTGTTTTGCTGCTCTGAGTAGGGTTGCCACTGCTGCAACAAAAATGATGGAAACCTATAAAGAATTCTAGCCCGTGGTGGGTGCTACATCTGCACAGCTCCTCTGTTTTGTTGTTGTTTGTTTTTTCCTGTGTGACATCATCTTTGCCAGACTCCGTGCCTTCAGGCAAACAGCCTCCTGCTTATTCGATGCACACCTCGGAAATGATCTCTTTCAGCTTTTGCCTTCTGGAAGAAGGTACAGGGTTACAAAGACTAGGACTAGCCGCCTGAGAAAGAGTTTCTAGCCAAATGCGATTTTGGTTTTAAACGCAGTGTAAGGAGTCTCTATGGGAGTATATTGTTTTAAAAATGGGGTATCAGAGTTTTTAGGGGGCTAACCAGGTTGGGATGGCTGGGATAGCAGGCTTGTTGGGTTTTGAATGTCTTATGTAGATTTTTTCAATTTCGTTGTTCTGTATGGGACAATGACAATAGAGATTATTTTATCGTATAGTATGAAACAAAACAGATGAATGGCATTGGGTGTTTTTGTTCATTAGTTCTTTGTCCTTATAATCATGTCTGTTCTGGTTTTTAAAACGGCAAAACGTTCCAGTCTGCAATTAAATCATGCCCTAAATTATTCCTTGAGCTCAGAGCTGGCAGAGGAGGAACTGACTATCATGCCACCACCAGGCTCCCGTGGACCCCAAGGCTGGTTGCCTGAATCCTGCAGAATCACAAATGCTGTAGATCAAGCCTTGCTTGCTGTTGGAATCGAGTGCTTGTACTACCATTCCTTCCACTACCATGAGCAGAAATAGGCTGCAGAAAGGCAATATCCCCCCCCCAGATATATTTTATTAAATTTCCAGAAATATCACATATGCAGTCCAATACATAATAGATTTTTCTTTTGTTTTGTCGACTTCCCATCCCGTTTTCCGTGGTGTATTTATTTCTTCCCTTGCTGCACTTTGTCTTCTTTCTCCTATACTAAGGATGCAGGTGGCACTGTGGTCTAAACCACTGAGCCCCTTGGGCTTGCCCATCGGAAGGTCGGCTGTTCGAATCCCTGTGACAGGGTGAGCTCCCATTGCTCTGTCCCAGCTTCTGTCAACCTAGCAGTTCGAAAACATGCCAGTGCAAGCAGATAAATAGATACCGCTGTGGCAGGAAGGTAAACAGCATTTCCATGCACTCTGGTTTCCGTCACAGTGTTCCACTGTGCCAGAAACGGCATAGTCATGCTGGCCACATGACCCAGAAATCTGTCTGTGGACAAACGCTGGCTCCTTCGGCCTGAAAGATGAGTGCCACACCCCATAGTCACCTTTGACTGGACTACCACTACCAATAATAATTTATTTATTTATACCCCGCCCATCTGGCTGGGTTTCCCCAACCACTCTGGGCGGTTCCCAACAGAATATTAAAAACACGATAAAACATTAAACATTAAAAACTTCCCTAAACAGATGTCTTCTAAAAGTCAGATATTTGTTTATTACTTAACTGCTCAGAGGTCCTTTACCTTTACCTTTACCTTTTACCCACAATAATCTCTCATTCCTTCTGTTGCTCATAGTTCAAATATTATACTATAATATTACTTTAAATATTCCAAAAAAGGCTTCCATTCTTCCATAAAACAACCATCATTAAGCTGTCTTATTTTAGCTGTTAACTTTGCCAGTTCGGCATAGTCCATCAGTTTGCTTTTCCATTCTTCTTTGGTGGGAATTTCTTCCTCTCATTTTTGTGCAGAAAATATCCCAGCTGCTGTCATTCCATACATAAATAAATGCTCTTCAGCACTGATTCTGGATTGTTTTATTTGATGTTTTAATGTGCTGCAAACTGCTTTGATTTTTTTTAATATATGAAAGCGGTATAATAATAATAATAATAATAATAATAATAATAATAATAATAATAATGTGATGCAGCAGCAAAAAAAGCTAATGCTCTTGTAGGCTGCATCAATAGAAGTCTAGTGTCCAGATCAAGGGAAGTAATAGTACGACTATTGTGCCTTATTTATTAATTTTATTTATTGAATTTATATATCTCCCTATACCTGGTGGTCTCAGACAACTCTTGGAATACTGCGCCCAGTTCTGGGTGCTACAATTTAAGAAGGATGTTGACAAGCTGGAACGTGTGCAGAAGAGGTTCAACTAGGATGATTAAGGGTCTGGATACCAAGCCTTATGAGGAACAGTTGAAGGAGCTGGGTATGTTTAGCCTGGAAAAGTGGGGACTGAAAGGAGATATGATATCTGAAGGGCTGTCCCATGGAGGAGGGAGCATGCTTGTTTTCTCCTGCTCTGGAGGTTAGGACTCGAATCAACGTCTTCAAGTTGCAAGAAATGAGATCCCAACTAAACATTTACAGTAAGAGCTGTTCAGTTGTGGAACAAACTTCCACAAGATGTGGTAGACTCTACTTCCTTGGAGGTTTTTAAGCAGAGGTTGAATGGCCATCTGCCATGGATGTTTTAGTTGAGATTCCTGCATCGCAGGGGGTTGGACTAGATGACCGCTGGGTCCCTTCCAACTCTTTAAGATTCTGTGATTCTATAATAACAAATTTTATTTTTGTTACCTTTTCAGATAAAAAAACACGGTGCATCTGCTACTCACCAAAAAGCTTGCCGTGCTCAATTAGCCAGGTTGAATCCAATGTCCGCACCCCTGTCAGTCCCGACGGTGCAGGAATTAAGAACGATGGACAGCAATTTGCACAGTAACTTGGAGAAGCTGTTCAATACGGCATACTTCATCGTCAAGGAGAACTATTCGTTTGACGACTTCCCGGCGTTATGTGCATTGCAGAAGAAAAACGGCTTGATAGTGGGCGAGACGTACAGGAACGACAAAGCGGCCAAGCAGTTTGCTCATTACATTGCGGAAAGCCTTCGGCTGGAGCTCAAGTACAAACTGAGCAAAGCAAATTTCTTTGGGATTTTGGCCGACGGCTCGACGGATAGATCGAACGCGGCTTCCGAGATTGTTTACTTTTATTATATAAATGAAGCGGAAGTGAAATGTAGTTACGGAGCCCTTAAGGAATGTCCTAGTGAGGATGCAGGGGAAGTGAAGTCGACCATCGAGTCGGTTCTCGACGTATACATACCCGATTGGAAAAGCAAGCTGACGGCCATAAGCTTCAACGGGGCTAGTGTTGATACGGGCAACGCGTCTGAGGTTGCGAAATTGTTACAGGACAGCTGTCCAGGTCTGGTGGCCGTGCACTGCGTTGCTCACCAACTGGAGCTTGCGATAGGGGATGCCTTAAAGTCCGTCAAATTCGCCGGGCTTGCCGAAGACGTCGTGAAGGGTATATACACGTTTTACCACAGTAGTCCTAAAAGGGCAAAGGAGTTGAAAGAGATCGGCGAAGTCCTGAACGAGAAAGTGCTTCGCCACATGGGTATCACCGGAATCAGGTGGCTGCAGTCGAAGAACTCTGCCGTGAAAGCCCTGGCCAACAATCTGCCCATCGTTGTGGTGCACTTGCAGCAGATTGTGAGTGGCTCCAGCACAAAGCCAGATAGGAAGCTGGAGGCCAAGCTGAAGGGGTACTTGAAGCGTTTGAAGTCGGAGCGCTTTGTCAGGTTTTTGTTTTTCATGGACGACGTTACGCACACGCTTACGAGGCTATCCGAGGTGTTTCGGAGGAAGTGTGTGTCCGTCAGCGATGTGAAAACCAGCTTGACGGCGACGAAAGAGAGGCTGCAGAGGATGGTGAAAGAGAGCGGGCCTCAGCTGCAAAAGTTTGAAAGTGCCGCGCAGCTGGAAGGCGGCGTGTTAGTGTACAAAGACGTGGAAATCATTAGCAACGCAAGCGAAGTTGGCTGCTTTGAGGAAGATCGGCGTGTCTTGCTGAGTTCAATCGTGGAAGCGATCGACAAATGGTTTGACCGCATCGGAAACGACAGAGTTCTGCGAAACGTGGAGATATTTGACCCGTGCAACATACCCAAACCGGTCGGTGGAAGGGACACGTCCGCAAGTAGCCACGGAGAAAAAGAACTGAGTGAACTATTGCAAGCCTTGCCCAGCAACGTGAGAGTCGACAAGGAAGCCATCTTGGAGGAGTATCAAGAGTTCAAAGTGTGGGCTGGCAACAAGACAAGCATCACGTGTGAAGAAGCTTGGCAGCGCCTTCAAGCAGAGTCAACGGCTTGTGCTTCGTATATTAATATATGCAAAGTTTTGAACTTCTTACGAGTCCTCCCACTTAGCACTGCCGAATGCGAGAGGGGGGTTAGCCAACTAAACCTGGTTAAAACGGACAGTCGGAAACGTCTGCTTGCGACGACCATTGATGACTTACTGATGATCAAGATGAATGGTCCGGACCTAGAGGTTTTCAGTGCTGCAAATGCAGTTAATTTGTGGTGGAACGATGTTGCCAGGGGGCGCATTAGAAGACCCCACTTTAAAAACAAAGACTAGGGTGTTTTAAAAACCGAAGTATAGTCCCAATATTTTATTATATAAACAAAATGAAACAGGTAAGTGTGATTTATTCATTCGCCTTTTGTAACAAGCTTTGCAGGTTTTTTTTAGTCCTTGTCACAGAACTCATAACAAATTTATAGTAATCTTGGCAAATAAATTAGTCTTACAGATTACTGTAATGATAGTGCCACCTTCTTATAATTGGTTTATGGCTTTAGCATAAGTCAGGGCCGAATCTAGGTTTTTTGTCACCCGGGTCAAAGACCCAGTTTGACCGCCCACCTCCCGGATGTGTGTTTGCATACATACACATACATACAAACAAACACACACACAAACACATCAACACATTTATTCTTAAAGGGCATAAAAAGTAGGCAGTATATCATTTGAATACAAAGGAATCCTAAGAAGCATTATGACTGTATGGCCAAAGGGTCAATGAGCATCCCGTTCAGTAAAAGCAAATTGCTTGTCAAAAGTAGAACTTCCATGTGCAGCAATTGTCTATCTGAGGTCAGGTTTTGAATTGGATTTAATTGGTCACAGGATCATTAAAAGACTGCATTTCCATAAGATCAGCCAAGACCCTCTGGTTTCCTTTTAAAATACTCCCCCCCCCTCTTGAGGCTTTTTGCCACCCACCCTTCTTATTGGTTCTGTGCAAACCCTTTCAAGGAGTTTTGACGTGTGAATTTACTCCTGAGTAAGCTTCAACAAGATTCCTTTCAATTATTATTTTTTTGATTACTCATTTTAGGAAATGATGGTTTTGTGGTCGTTTTAGGTTCCATGTAAGGTGGAAAAAATGCTTTTTATGAGTCTAAAGTAGAAGGTGCCCTTCCGTTACAATCCTAATGCAGCCAGACTGACCAGAGCTTGCCAGGGAACTGCCTCTGGCACGAAAAATGCTCACACACCCCTTACTTTCCTGTGTGTAGATCATGTGTAGTCTGTAAAATGAATCAACCTTTGCTATTTAAACACATTCAAAGTTCTGAAGGAGTCATAGAATTGTAGAATTGGAAGGGACCCCAAGGATCATGGGTAAGCAAACTAAGGCCCGGGGGCCGGATCCAGCCCAATTGCCTTCTAAATCCGGCCCACGGATGGTCCAGGAATCAGCATGTTTTTACATAAGTAGAACGTGCCCTTTTATTTAAAATGCATCTCTGGGTTATTTGTAGGGCATAAGAATTCATTCACACCCCCCCCAAAAAAAAATATAGTCCGGCCCACCACATGGTCTGACGGACACTGGACCGGCCCCCTGCTGAAAAAGTTTGCTGACCCCTGATCTAGTTCAAGTGATTCTCTTCCTCAGATTCTCGACCCTCCATCCCTCCATTTCTTTTTCACACAGTAGCAAAACCCCACAGGGGATCCGATCTTCTGCTTCACTGGGGAGAGCCACGCTGCCCCTTCAGATTTTCCAACTCTTCCTCTCCCTGTAATTGAGCCTGCTTCAGCTTCATGGGGAAAGGGGAAGGATGGATCTCGTGGTTGCTATTCACTTTTCCATCTTTCTCTCTGGCTGAAGCCCAGACATGCTAGGAGCCTCAGTGATGATAATAATAATAATAATAATTTATTATTTATACCCCGCCCATCTGGCTGGGTTTCCCCAGCCACTCTGGGCATCTCCCAACAGAATATTAAAAGCATGATAAAACATCAAACATTAAAAACTTCCCTAAACAGGGAATGTCAACCAAGTACAGTGGTACCTCAGGTTACATACGCTTCAGGTTACAGACTCCGCTAACCCAGAAATAGTGCTTCAGGTTAAGAACTTTGCTTCAGGATGAGAACAGAAATCGTGCTCCGGCGGCACGGCAGCAGCAGGAGGCCCCATTAGCTAATGTGGTACTTCAGGTTAAGATCAGTTTCAGGTTAAGAACAGACCTCCAGAACAAATTAAGTACTTAACCCGAGGTACCACTGTACTGGAATAAAACTTCACTGTCGTAACAGAATAATTTACACACTGTCAGAATGGAAGAATGCATTTGCCCATAAGAAAATCAAAATCTAACAGTGATGCTACGGCTCTGCACAAGTAATAAATAAAATACTGTTGTCAAATAAAGCAGTGCCACGTGCAAATCTAGCACAATATTTTATTTTATATCTGTAGATATACACATACATGCTGGTATTTATAAATATTACTTATGCAAATTGCTTACGGTTGGCTACTGTTGCCGAGGCTGAGCCCCATTTATGTTTGTGGTGTCCAATTCGCAATTGCTATTAAAAATGTGGTATTAAAAATGTGTCCCTGGTGTGAATTGTGTTTCATTCGTTAAGAAAGAAAGAGATGACTGTAATTGGTAAAATGTGCAACTAAATTGTTAAATGCATTTTAACCTTGATGATATAAACAATTCATTTTTTGTTTTGTAATCTTGTAAAAAAAATGGCAGCTAGGCATTCGTTGTGGCGACCGTTGTCTATGTTTAAGGTGCCATTTGGCAACTAGCTTATATACTTGGGAGATGTTTCTATCTAACAGTAATGACTGCCAAGTGCAATATAAGTACATCCTGATACATTTTATAAAGCTTTGAACAGCTCAGGGTCTGTGAGAGCTTTCACCTGCTTCTCCTTGACACAAGTTGCTAGACGTGTGCTATGCCAGTTCTGATTTCAAAAGGAGCTTTGAGAAAAGTTATTGCTACCTCTGGAATTCATGGGACGCGGGTGGCGCTGTGGGTTAAACCACAGAGCCTAGGACTTGTCGATCAGAAGGTCGGCGGTTTGAATCCCCGCGACGGGGTGAGCTCCCCTTGTTCGGTCCCTGCTCCTGCCAAGTAGATAAATACCGTAGGTACCGCTCCGAGGGGAAGGTAAACAGTGTTTCCGTGCACTGCTCTGGTTCGCCAGAAGTGGCTTAGTGACCTTAGTCGTGCTGGCAGCATGACCCAGAAGCTGTACGCTGGCTCCCTCAGGGGTCCCTTTACCTTTACCTAAAGGTAAAGGGACCCCTGACCGTTAGGTCCAGTTGCGGATGACTCTGAGGTTGCGGCACTCATCTCACTTTACTGGCCGAGGGAGCCGGCGTACAGCTTCCGGGTCATGTGGCCAGCATGACTAAGCCGCTTCTGGCGAACCAGAGCAGCACACGAAAACGCCGTTTACCTTCCTGCCGTTTACCTTCCTACCTATTTATCTACTTGCACTTTTATGTGCTTTCGAACTGCTAGGTTGGCAGGAGCAAGGACCGAGCAACAGCATTCATAACCTCTAAAACAATCTTAACAGTGATAACAAGAGTGACCAAAAAATAAACTAAGCACTGTCGAATTCATACACAAACTCTTTTCAGCCCTTGTGACTCAGCCATGTTGTTGTTGTTTAGTCGTGTCCAACTCTTTGTGACCCCCTGGACCAGAGCACGCCAGGCACTCCTGTCTTCCACTGCCTTCCACAGTTTGGTCAAACTCATGCTGGTCTCTTCGAGAACACTGTCCAGCCATCTCATCCTCTGTCGTCCCCTTCTCCTTGCGCCTCGTTGGCCCTTGGCGAGGAGGAAGGGGCAGATGAATGACGAGCCAAAGCGGAACCCGTGTGGCACCTTTTCTCTGTAGAGAGGAGAACGAGGAGGAGAGCAGCTCGGAGAATAAGCCGCGGCCTGCGCCCTAAAGGCACCTGACGCCGAGCACGGGATTCTTTCCACGAGCGCTTCCTTCCCCGTTCTATCTCATTCTTCCTCGCTCGGCAGAGCCCACAGCAGAAGAGCCCGTCCAAGCGCCACGGACTCTCTCCTCCCCGGACACTCAGGCTGGCGCCCTTGAAGCCCTGGCGCACCGCGCCACTTTGCACCACTGGGTAGAGACGGGCCTGCCTGGACTTCATTTCCTTGGAGGTTTTTAAGCAGAGGCTGGGTGGCCATCTGTCAGGGATGCTTTAGCCGAGATTCCTGCATTGCAGGGGGTTGTACTAGATGACCCTTGAGGGTCCCGTCCAACTCTTAAGATTCTAGAATCATAGAATCATAGAGTTGGAAGAGACCACAAGGGCCATTGAGTCCAACCCCCTGCCAAGCAGGAAACACCATCAGAGCACTCCTGACATATGGTTGTCAAGCCTCTGCTTAAAGACCTCCAAAGAAGGAGACTCCACCACACTCCTTGGCAGCAAATTCCACTGTCAAACAGCTCTTACTGTCAGGAAGTTCTTCCTAATGTTTAGGTGGAATCTTCTTTCTTGTAGTTTGGATCCATTGCTCCGTGTCCGCTTGTCTGGAGCAGCAGAAAACAACCTTTCTCCCTCCTCTATGTGACATCCTTTTATATATTTGAACATGGCTATCATATCACCCCTTAACCTCCTCTTCTCCAGGCTAAACATGCCCAGCTCCCTTAGCCGTTCCTCATAAGGCATCGTTTCCAGGCCTTTGACCATTTTGGTTGCCCTCCTCTGGACACGTTCCAGTTTGTCAGTGTCCTTCTTGAACTGTGGTGCCCAGAACTGGACACAGTACTCCAGGTGAGGTCTGACCAGAGCAGAATAAGTGGCACTATTACTTCCCTTGATCTAGATGCTATACTCCTATTGATGCGGCCCAGAATTGCATTGGCTTTTTTAGCTGCCGCGTCACACTGTTGGCTCATGTCAAGTTTGTGGTCAACCAAGACTCCTAGATCCTTTTCACATGTACTGCTCTCAAGCCAGGTGTCCCCCATCTTGTATTTGTGCCTCTCATTTTTTTTGCCCAAGTGCAATACTTTACATTTCTCCCTGTTAAAATTCATCTTGTTTGTTTTGGCCCAGTTCTCTAATCTGTCAAGGTCGTTTTGAAATCTCTGGCCAGATGTGACCCCCACCACCCACCCCATCCCTCAAAGCAGCCCTAGCAGGGCCAAAGATGGGGGAGGTCATGGGCGTAACCAGGATTTTTTTTGGGGGGGGGAGAGGCAGCTTTGAGCTTTTTTTAAAGGAATCCTTTTGATCCTTTTTTAGGAAATCAACAGAAACTCAGATAATTGAGGATTTTCAGTCCTTTTCGTTTCACGGGGTGCAATAGGCACAGTCTAGGCCTGAAAAGGCGCGCGGGGGGGGGGGGGCGCGTCCCGCCGCGCGGTCCTCCGGAGGTTAAGGAACCGAGTTCTGGTTCCTAGAGAGGCCGGAAGCTGCAATCCAACAGACGGGTGGGGGCTAGAGGGGCTCCTTCCTTCTTCCGGCAGGAGAAATGGTCCAGCGAAGGTGGTGGTTGCGGAAGAGGTGCGGCTTATGGGCGGCGAATGGGGTGAAATCTAAGAGGTGCCCTATTTTGGGGGGGGGGTCGGGGGTGTGCGAGGTTGGGGAGGGGGCGCAGGAGGAGGGTTTGCCTGGGGAGGCGAGGGGGGGGTAAATAGCAGGCAAAGTTAATAGAGTATGTGGAAATGGCAAGACTGACAAATATAATAATAATAATAATAATAATAATAATAATAATAATAATAATAATAATAATAATAATAGTTGTTATTATTATTATTATTATTATTATTATTTATTATTTGTACCCCGCCCATCTGGCTGGGTTTCCCCAGCCACTCTGGGCGGCTTCTAACAAAGATGAAAAATACACTAAAATGTCACACATTAAAAACTTCCCTGAACAGGGTTGCCTTCAGGTGTCTTCTGAATGTCAGGTAGTTGTTTATTTCCTTGACATCTGATGGGAGGGCGTTCCACAGGGCGGGCACCACTACCGAGAAGGCCCTCTGCCTGGTTCCCTGTGACCTCACTTCTTGCAGGGAGGGAACCGCCAGAAGGCCCTCGGAGCTGGACCTCAGTGTCCGGGCAGAACGATGGGGGTGGAGACGCTCCTTCAGGTATACTGGGCCGAGGCTGTTTGGGGCTTTAAAGGTCAGCACCAACACTTTGAATTGTGCTCGGAAACATACTGGGAGCCAATGTAGGTATTTCAAGATGTGGTCTCTGCGGCCGCCCCCAGTCACCAGTCTAGCTGCCGCATTCTGGATTAGTTGTAGTTTCCGGGTCACCTTCAAAGGTAGCCCCACGTAGAGCGCATTGCAGTAGTCCAAGCAGGAGATAACCAGAGCATGCACCACTCTGGCGAGACAGTCCGCGGGCAGATAGGGTCTCAGCCTCCGTACCAGATGGAGCTGGTAAACAGCTGCCCTGGACACAGATTTGACCTGTCCCTCCATGGACAGCTGTGAGTCCAAAATGACTCCCAGGCTGCGCACCTGGTCCTTCAGGGGCACAGTTACCCCATTCAGGACCAGGGAATCCTCCACACCTGCCCGCCTCCTGTCCCCCAAAAACAGTACTTCTGTCTTGTCAGGATTCAACCTCAATCTGTTAGCCGCCATCCATCCTCCAACCGCCTCCAGGCACTCACACAGGACCTTCACCGCCTTCACTGGTTCTGATTTAAAAGAGAGGTAGAGCAAGAGATCAGGATCAAAAAAAGAAGAAGGGGGGAAAACCTCTTATGTTTTTTGTGGAATATTTAGAGGCACATTGTAAACCAGGCATGTCCAAAGTCCGTTTTGGGCGCCTAATCCGGCCCGCCGGTCGGTTTAATCCGGCCCCCGTGGCAGTATATGTCCTGCGGTAAAACCCTATTTTAAACTGTATTCTAACTTATATTTTAATCAACTTTTTAAAAAATGCTTTTACTGTATTTATATTTAGTGTTAGTCGCCCTGAGGGCGGGGTATAAATAAAAAAAATATTATTATTAAAAAAGCTCAGCAACTTCAATCCTAACAAAAGCTCAACAACTTCGGTCAGCCCTCATGCATGTTCACTCTTTGAAAAAAAATGTTTGGGCACCCCCTGTTGTAAACCGATTTAGAAGTGAGCAGAATAAATGAAACAATTGAGATATGAAGATGAGGAATACAGGGAGACGTGTAGTGGGAAAGGCAGTAATAAAATGCACCACCAGGGAAGAAGAGCCAATGCCGGTTGTGTGTTTCTTTTATATGAAATGTTCTTATTGTTTCAAGTGTAAAATGGAAATTTAAGGGCGGGTGGGGAAGCAAGAACCTCTGGGAAGCTGCCCTCTCCCCTCTGAAGGGATCAAGCCACTTTTCTCCCCTATTATCATTTTATATATGTTGGAAGCTGCCCAGGGTGGCTGGGGCAACCTAGTAAGATGTGTGGGGTGTAAATAGTAAAATTATCATTATGGAATGGGACGTCCCTATTTTCACTGGAGAAATGTTGAAGGGTATGTGGAGGAGAGACACCTTTAGGAGAAAAATTGAGACGTTCCACACTCCCTCCTCTCATGTTTACCAAATTCCTCCGATGTTCTTACCCATCCATTTAGTGACTCTTTGTGCATACGGCTTGTGTTTCCTTCTTATTCTAGGCTCTCTTGACCTTTACAGAAGCAGCTCTGAATTTTACGGAGGACAGGTGGCACCTGCAGGATCCCAGCTGAAGATCTTTGCGCTGGGAAGTCATGGAGGAGAATTATAAGACGGTGGCCTCTCTAGGTAAGGATGCTTTTCTCCTCAATTGTTTGTTCAGCATGTTTTTGTTCTTTCTGCCATTCCCCCACCAACCCATCAAATTTGCCCCTTTTGTTCTGCACCTCCCTCAATACTTTTCTTTGTGCTAGAAGACATCTGAAGGGAAGTTTTTAACGTTTAACGTTTTATCGTGTTTTTTAATATTCTGTTGGGAACCGCTCAGAGTGGTTGGGGAGGCCCGGCCAGATGGGCGGGGTATAAGTAATAAATTATTATTTTTTATTGTTGTTGTTGTTATTTAGCTGTGTCCGACTCTTCATGACCCCATGAACCAGAGCACGCCAGGCACTTCTGTCTTCCATTGCCTCCTGCAGTTTGGTCAAACTCATGCTAGTAGCTTCGAGAACACTGTCCAACCATCTCATCCTCTGTTGTCCCCTTCTCCTTGTGCCCTCCATCTTTCCCAACATCAGGGTCTTTTCCAGGGAGTCTTCTCTTCTCATGATGTGGCCAAAGTCTCAGCTTCAGGATCTGTCCTTCCAGTGAGCACTCAGGGCTGATTTCCTTCAGAATGGAGAGGTTTGATCTTCTTGCAGTCCATGGGACTCTCAAGAGTCTCCTCCAGCACCATAGATCAAAAGCATCTATTCTTCGGCGATCAGCCTTCTTTATGGTTCAGCTCTCACTTCCATACATCACTACTGGGAAAACCATAGCTTTAACTATACGGGCCTTTGTTGGCAAGGTGATGTCTCTGCTTTTTAATATTATGCGTTCTCACAACACTCGAGCTGGATACATTCCGGTGCCTTGAAGCTTAACGTATTTCCTCCAGAGAAGGGCAACCAAAATCCTCAAGGGGGATAAAGTAACTCCCTTAGGAGAAAAGGTGCAGCATTTGGGACCTTTCAGTTTAAAGGAAAGGCTAGTAAGAACTAACAAGATAGAAAATGTGCTCATGTCCTGCTTGCAAGTTTCCGACAGGTGTCTGGTTGGCCACTGTGAGAACAGGATGCTGAGCTAGATGGGCCATTGGCCTGATCCAGCAGGCTGATAATATGTTCTACACAGACGTAAGGCGTAAGCTGTTCTTACATTCTTACCAGTCTTTACTGCAACCACACTTGAAATACTGTGCACAGTTTTGGTCACTCTTTTTATGTTCCTGTTAATCTTAATGTCAGGATATACCTCTGGCTCTATTTTGGATGATGATGAGGAGGAGGAACGGTGCCAAGTCCAAATTTGAAGAACTGGCTTTGCCAAGTTCCACCATGCCATCCCCAACAGGCATTTTAAGCTGAGCCGGTTTCTAATTTGTGTAATAAAATGGCACCCGAACATAAAGATCAAAACTGGTTTTGATAAGTTTGAACAGGAATTCAAGTTCAGCTTCATATCCAGTGAGTGCATGTTCATTGCTGATCCTGCTTGGATTTCAGCCTTCACGTGGTATTCATGTGTTGTAGGAGTTACAAATTCGGAACCATCCCCCTTCTTAGCCTTAGATGTGTCACAGAGATGGCTCGGTTTGGAATCTGATTTTTTTTTTAAAATTAGTCTTGTTTCCTTCCTTGAAAGAATGGAACTTCAGTTCTTTTGCTGGGAAAAGAGAAGATCCATTTATCCTGGATCCCAAAGAGGAGGCATCAACAGGTGTTTTGAAGGACTTTCCGCCCCATTCCTATGTGATTTCATTCAGGGCAGATAGACCCATCATAGCTTAAAGGAAATCAGAGAAATTCATGGGAGAGAAGGCTTCTCAAGGCTATGTGCTACCTCCAGAATCAGGAGAACAACTGCAGGAGGGGACAGTTAGCTTCCTGTTCTATTTCTGGGCTTCACATGTGCATCTTGTTGGTCCTTGTGAGAATGCTAGACCGGATAGGCCGTAGGGTGGATCCATCGGGGCTGTTCTTTGGCATCCAGGTTGTGGTTTGCCTTGTACATGCTCTGATATGCCCCAGGTTTTTTGGGGTCTTTTTTAAGTGGCTTGTCTTCCACTGTACCTGTTCACAGGTGCCAGGTGGCTCATACCAGATCCACATTCCCCATCCAATGTGCTGGCAGGAGACCTGAGATCATGCATTTCCCTGCTCTTGGCTTTGGGCAGCTGTCTAAAGAGCAGTTGGGTGGACTTGGGGTGCCTGAATGGTTTCTCCTCGGAAGTAACCACCCTGCCTATTTCATTGGAAGAAATCCCCAAACAGGACTTGATCCCTTGCCCATAGAATCATAGAGTTGGAAGAGACCACAAGGGCCATCGAGTCCAACCCCCTGCCAAGCAGGAAGCACCATCAGAGCACTCCTGACATATGGTTGTCAAGCCTCTGCTTAAAGACCTCCAAAGAAGGAGACTCCACCACACTCCTTGGCAGCAAATTCCACTGTCAAACAGCTCTTACTGTCAGGAAGTTCTTCCTAATGTTTAGGTGGAATCTTCTTTCTTGTAGTTTGGAGATTCCACCTAAACATTAGGAAAAACTTCCTGCCCAGAAGGAGAAGAATCAGTTGGCCGTTGCTCTCAAAGAAGGGAAGAGATTGGCTGCTCTTAAAATGTCTCTGCAAAAAATGGGAGCAAGACAACACTGCATACCTGTGGAGTGCTAGTCTTGGCCCACCCCTGCCTTTGGAGAAAACCCAGGACTCAGTGTCAGAGCACAATATTTGCATTCAGAAAGTCCTACGTTTCACCCCCACCATCTCTGGAGTCCCCATCTGGAACCTGCAAGGCCACAGGAAGTGAATGTAGACCTTAGTGAGTTAGATAGACCCCAGTGCCCTGATTCTTGTCTAAGGCATCTTCTTGGCTTCTCATATCAGACCTTCTAAATGCATAGGAACCACAGAGCAGTGAGTTGTTCCCAGTTTGGTCAATTCCCCCACTTACTGCACTTCTATTCCTTTAAATATAATTTTATTAAGCTTTAACAAATTTAAATTCAAACACATCATTCACCTCTTCCATTCGGATTCTCTGAATCCCTTGACTTCCCTCCAGCCTTCCATGGTTACCATTGTCAGTCTTTTTTTCTTCTTCTGCTTATCTTATTTTCTCTAATCTGTCAAAAAAGTAATAATTCATTTTCGCATAGCTTTACTCAAATCCTGCCAAAGTTTTTAGTTGTTTACTGTGTTCTCTTAAGTACAGACAGAAAGAGGGAGAATCGGGGAGATGCCAAAATGCGGGGGTGGGGGGGAGGTAAATGGGTTGAATCTGTGATGAGAACCTTTGATTTCCCCTTGAAATTCACCCATGATTTTCTTTCTCACCTCTCCCTCAGATGATGGCCAAAGCAACGGGAACTATAGAGAAGCACCAGAAACGGCTGCAGCTGAAGCAGGAAAAGAGATGTTTGACAATCAAAGGGACCCCCCAAACCATGAACAAAACCAGTCAGAGAATGTGAGGAAGAAATCATTGACTATGCAGGGTTTTGATGACCAAGAACCCCTGATGCTACAAGAAGATCAAAGCCGGAAGGCATGTCCAGTATGTGGAAAAATACTTAGAGATAAATCGGATTTCAGTAGACATTACAGAATCCACACAGGGGGGAAACCACATAAATGCACAGTGTGTGGAAAAAGCTTCCGTTTGCTCAGTAACCTTCGTAAACATCAGAGAACTCACACGGGAGAGAAGCCATATAAATGCAAGGAGTGTGGAAAGTGCTTCAGTGACAGCAGCAGTCTTACTCCGCATGAAAGATCCCACACAGGGGAGAAGCCATTTAAATGCACGGTGTGTGGAAAGAGCTTTAGTGTGAGTAGTCACCTTACCGTACATCAGAGAACCCACACAGGAGAGAAACCATTCAAGTGCAAGGAGTGCGGAAAGAGTTTCAGTGACAGCAGCAGCCTTACGCCACATCAACGCACCCACACAGGGGAGAAGCCGTTTCAGTGTGTGGTGTGTGGAAAGAGCTTCAGAGTGAATAGTCACCTTACTGTACATCAGAGAACCCACACAGGGGAGAAGCCATTTAAATGCAAGAAGTGTGGGAAGTGCTTCAGCGACAGCAGCAGCCTTACTCCACATGAAAGAACCCACACAGGGGAGAAGCCATTTCAGTGCGTGGTGTGCGGAAAGAGGTTTAGTGTGAGTAGTCGTCTTACCGCACATCAAAGAATACACACGGGAGAAGCCATTTATGTGCAAGAAGTGTGGAAGGAGCTTCAGGTGCAGCAGTAGCCTTAACATACATCAAAGAATCCACATACTGGAGAAACAATTTAAGTGCGCGGAGTCTGGAAAGAGCTTTAATGAGCAATACGTTTCAAAGAACACAGCAGCAGAGAAATTAAATGTGGAAAGGTTTTTAATGTGAGTCGCAACTGGGAGGAAGACGTCCGATAAATACAGGAGGAACTGCATGTGAAAAAAATGTGATAATTAAAGGAAACATGCATCATACGATATCTTGTAAGGATTTGCAGTCTAACGTGGAAACTTTGGGCATAGGAAAGCAAGTGAGATCTTACTAGGGTGTTTTGGCATGAGGGGTTTGTAGATGGCAAAGAAGCACAGAGATAAGGCAAAGGTAAAGGAACCCCTAACCATTAGGTCCAGTTGCGGACGACTCTGGGGTTGCGGCGCTCATCTCGTTTTATTGGCCGAGGGAGCCGGCGTACAGCTTCCGGGTCATGTGGCCAGCATGACTAAGCCGCTTCTGGCGAACCAGAGCAGTGCACGGAAACGCCGTTTACCTTCCCTATTTATCTACTTGCACTTTGATGTGCTTTCAAACTGCTAGTTTGGCAGGAGCAGGGACCAAGCAATGGGAGCTCACGCCGTCGCGGGGATTCGAACTGCCGAACTTCTGATCAGCAAATAGCAAAGTTGGGTGGCCATCTGTTGCGGATGCTTTAGTTGAGATTCCTGCATTGCTGGGGGGTTGGATTAGATGACCCTTGGGTTCCCTTTCAAATCTACAATTCTATGAAAGTTTCCTTCAATACCCTCCAGCTAGGCCTTTGGCCTGATCCAGTTTCATGGCTTTTATACTCTTAAGCAGTTCCTGATCTAAGCTTACTAAGGAGGTTTTGAAATGCTTTTGAAAGCCTCAAGTACACAACATCTGGTAGATTCCCTCATCTGCATGACCCTAAGATATTTAATGGGGACTCCATGAAAAGCTAACCTTTCAACGGTATAGAGATTTTGTTCATAAATAAATAAATGAATTGCTTCACTTTATTTCGCTGTGTAATCATCGCATCCCGAGAGTTTTATCTTAGAGTTGTGTTTTCTGAATTTTTGTTTGTGGGTTTTCCTAATCCAAAAGTGCAATGCGTTTGCTAGACTTCTGCCGATTTATTTTAAATAACATATTCCAAACTGATTTCACTCTCTGGTTGTATATTAGATACGGCCTTCACTTTCATTAGGGAGCTGAACTGGCTTCCCCAGGCAGTTTGAGAAGCATTTGGAAAGGCAGCAGTTCTGGGGGAAACCTCGGCTGAAGAGCTTGGAGGAGTAAACTGCCTGTCCAAATACAGTCGTACCTTGGTTTCCAAACAGCTTAGTTCTTGAAAGTTTTGGCTCCCAAACACCGAAAAGCTGGAAGCGACTGTTCCAGTTTGTGCACTATTTTTGGAAGCCAAATGTCCGATGGGGATTCCATGGCTTCCGATTGGCTCGGAAGGAGTTGCAAGAGCCAATCGGAAGCCGCACTTTGGTTTCGGAACGTTTTGGAAGTCGAACGGATTTCTGGAACAGGTTCCTTTCAACTTCCAAGGTATAACTGTATATAGATCTGGGCCAGAGATCTCAAGGGTCTGATCCACTAGACTTATTCCCTGCTATTGACATCAGGCAAGCACATTCCCTGTACAGTGGTACCTCAGGCTACAGACACTTCAGGTTACAGATTCCACTAACCCAGAAATAGTGCTTCAGGTTAAGAACTTTGCTTCAGAATGAAAACAGAAATTGTGCGGCGGTGGCACGGCGGCAGCGGGAGGCCCCATTAGCTAAAGTGGTACCTCAGGTTAAGAACAGTTTCAGGTTAAGAACGGACCTCCAGAATGAATTAAGTTCTTAACTCGAGGTACCACTGTACTCTTTTGTCAGGGCCTTCTTAAAACATACTTGTTTCAGCATGCCGATCCAAACACGTATATACTGAAGTGTTTTAATCATTCTTATTACTCACATTGATTATTTTTAATCTTTTGCATTTCAGAAAGAATTTTTTTATTTTGATGCAGGGTGTCATCCACTCTCATACCAGGATCACTTGGGAATGGAGGAATTTCATTTCCCTTCCAAAACTTCTCAGAGCACAAAAGACTGGCGTTCGGGTTTCTGCTTCCTGGTTGGTGTCCCATAATAATAATAATAATTTATTATTTATACCCTGCCCATCTGGCGGGTTTCCCAAGCCACTCTGGGCAGCTTCCAACAGAATATTAAAATACAACAACCTATTAAACATTAAAAGCTTCCCTAAACAGGGCTGCCTTCAGATGTCTTCTAAAAGTCTGGTAGTTTTTCTCTCTGACATCTGGTGGGAGGGCGTTCCACAGGGCGGGTGCCACTACCGAGAAGGCCATCTGCCTGGTTCCCTGTAACCTCACTTCTCGCAGCGAGGGAACTGCCAGAAGGCCCTCGGCGCTGGACCTCAGTGTCCGGGCAGAACGATGGGAGTGGAGATGCTCCTTCAGGTATACAGGACTGAGGCCATTTAGGGCTTTGAAGGTCAGCACCAACACTTTGAATTGTGCTCAGAAATGTACTGGGAGCCAGTGTAGGTTTTTCAAGGCATACTATTGTCTCCCTCCAGTGCCTGTTTTATGAGACCAGCTTTACCTACCCTTCCACCCCCAAGAACCTGATCGCTGGGTGGGCTGTTTGAGTTCTTCAACGCTAACCTAAAAATGAGTTTGGAAAGTGGATAGGGGCAGCGGGGTAGCCTTCAGTTTAGGTGGGGCAAGGGCAACACCTGAGTTTGAATGTGGGGAATTCGTTGTGATTCTGAACGGTGTCCAGAATGAGCTTGCATCTCCCAATAAATGAATATTGTCTGCTGTCTGTCTGACACCATAATCCAAACCAGTCCAGTCCACTTCAGGAGGAATGAGACGCCTCCTGGTATGCTCCGCAGAGGACCTTAAGGTCCATGAATAATCATAGTTTAGAGGTCCCGGGCCCTAAGGAAGTCAGATTATCCTCCACCAGGACCAGGGTCTTCTCAGTGATGGCTCCGACCTGGTGGAATGCTCTGTCCCATGAGACTAGGGTCCTGCAGGATTTAACCTCCTTCCGCAGGGCCTGTAAGACAGAGCTATTCCGCTTTCAATTTGAACTTAGCCTGATCTTTTACTCCACTTCCTTCCTTCCCTCCCATTCCCCTTTTTATGAAGATTACCCACTCTGGGATCACACAGCTAATTCTCCCCTGGTCTCCTCGCCATAGCTGTCACTCTTCCTGTTTTTTTGCGCGAAATTCCCTTATTCCAGCGTCGTTTCCCGCTGCTACCCTGGATTGTTAGATATCCCAAAGACTGTCCCCGGGACAGGTGAGGCTGCTGATCCCTTATTTTCAAATCTGAAAGTTGACAGCTATGCTCCTCGCTGGCGCAAATGGGACTAATTTAGCCAGCTAACCCTGGTGATCATCTAATGTTTATTGGATGGATTTCCCCCCCTAAATCAATCTTTGATTTCTGAACTTATTCATGTTTTATACTGTATTTTATGCTGTTTTTTGTTCCATCAATTAAGTGTTTTAAGTTTGTTGTCAGCCACCCTGAGCCCGGTGTTCTGAACCGGGAAGGGCGGGTATAAATAAAATTTTATTATTATTCCCAGCCCCCCACCTTTTCACCAAAAGCATCGCATACCACCAAGGAAGACCATTTGCCATGTGCAAGTCTTTTCAGATACAGCGGATTCATCCCCTTTGGCCTGACCCAACAGGCTTTTCTGCTGAACTCTTCACAAAAAAGGCACTTCTTTTGTCTTCCTCTGCCTCCCTTGCAAACCCTTAGCCAAGAGATCTCCCTCCCTCCCCAATAACCAGAGCGCCTTTCTCAATGCCACCCACGGGCATCGCTGAGACACTTCGGGTTCCCATTCGCAGGCGGCCAGCGCAAAGGAAACAGCTGCTGCTCCTCCTCGTTTGAATGGGAGCCGGAAGTGAAGGCGGGGCGGCGTCCTTCCCTGTCCCTATGGTCCATTGTGAAGGCACTCAGGGAGGTGGTCTCCTCGCGAGTTTTCCTCCCGAAGAGGAGCTGGGCCAGCGGAGAGAGAAGAGTTCCAGGGTGCAATGCAAGAAAGGTCGGGGAGAGCATGCCAGATCTTGCCTTCTTTGCATTGCACGACGCTCCTGCAAGGCAGGCCAGCGGGGATGTTCTGGGGAGGCGCGGCTCCGGGTGCAAAGCGGTTGATGGGGGTGAAGGAGGGCAGCTTTACACGCACCAGAGTTTTTGGGGGGTGGGCGTGGGAAGAGAGAAATCGGGGAATCTCCTTTTTCTGTCTCCTAGGCATGGTGGGAAATCCCAGGGATTGCTTTAATTAATTCAAAGATTTGTTGCATTTGTTGTTGTTTAGTCGTTTAGTCGTGTCTGCCTCTTCATGACCCCCTGGACCAGAGCATGCCAGGCACTCCTGTCTTCCACTGCCTCCCGCAGTTTGGTCAAACTCATGCTGGTAGCTTCGAGAACACTGTCCAACCATCTCGCCCTCTGCCGTCCCCTTCTCCTTGTGCCCTCCATCTTTCCCAACATCAGGGTCTTTTCCAGGGAGTCTTCTCTTTTCATGAGGTGGCCAAAGTATTGGAGCCTCAGCTTCAGGATCTGTCCTTCCAGTGAGCACTCAGGGCTGATTTCCTTAAGAATGGAGAGGTTTGATCTTCTTGCAGTCCATGGGACTCTCAAGAGTCTCCTCCAGCACCATAATTCAAAAGCATCAATTCTTCGGCGATCAGCCTTCTTTATGGTCCAGCTCTCACTTCCATACATCAATACTGGGAAAACCATGGCTTTAACTATACAGACCTTTGTTGGCAAGGTGACGTCTCTACTTTTTAAGATGCTGTCCAGGTTTGTCATTGCTTTTCTCCCAAGGAGCAGGCGTCTTTTAATTTCGTGGCTGCTGTCACCATCTGCAGTGATCATGGAGCCCAAGAAAGTAAAATCTCTCACTGCCTCCATTTCTTCCCCTTCTGTTTGCCAGGAGGTGATGGGACCAGTGGCCATGATCTTCGTTTTTTTTGATGTTGAGCTTCAGACCATATTTTGCACTCTCCTCTTTCACCCTCATTAAAAGGTTCTTTAATTCCTCCTCACTTTCTGCCATCA